AGGAGTGGCTGGACGGGAAGCAGCGGTGCTCGACGGTGTTTGTCTCTTTCGGGAGCGAGTACTTCCTGACGGAGGCGGAGATGGAGGAGGTGGCGCTAGGGCTGGAGCTCAGCCGGGTCAATTTCCTGTGGGTAGTTAGGTTCCCGAGCGGTGGGGGCGCGTGGGAGGAAACGCGGGCGATCGACGACGCGCTCCCTAACGGATTTCTCCGGAGAGTGGGGAGAAGGGGGAAAGTGGTTGAGGGGTGGGCCCCGCAGGGGAGGATTCTGGAAAATTCGAGCATAGGGGGATTCGTGAGCCACTGCGGGTGGAGTTCCGTGATGGAGGCCTTGAAATTCGGGGTTCCGATCGTCGCGATGCCGATGCAATTGGACCAGCCGCTGAACGCGAGGCTGGTGGTGGAGGCGGGGATAGGGGAGGAGGCGGTGAGGGACGGGGAGGGGAGAGTGGATAGACGGGAGGTGGCGAGGGCGGTGAGGAAGGTGGTGGCGGAGAAATCGGGGCAGCGGCTGCGGCGCCGGGCGAGGGAGTTCAGCGAGAAGATAATGAGTGAGAGGGGGGAGGAGGAGATCGACGAGGCGGTGGAGGAGTTGATGAAGCTTTGCCGGAGTAGGGTGACGGCGGCGGGGCGGGAGTACGACTCAAATCAACTTTTCAATTACTGCACAAATGGATAGGTTTTGCGTCATGCTTTTTGGCATTCTGTTGTTATTCCTCTAGACTATTTCAGTCTGTTCCTATGTTTTTCTTTCTGCCATAAAAAATAAAATTGACTATAAGATTTTGTACAGCATGGTTTGGTTTGGTGTTTGTTCACTTTTAATTTATCCTAATCAAGATCATCATTTTACCTTAATTTAAATAAAAATTACTCGTTCTAAAATTAATTTTTTATTTATTTTTTTATGGTCTCTAATATGGCACTTTAATCATTGTTATCTCCATTTTTATATGAATATACTCCTCCGTCCCCCATTTGATTACAAATTGCGGGTTACGGAGTAAAATTTTCTATTTTTTGAAATCATTTTATTTACAAATTGGTATATCAATAAGATATAAAAAATACGGAGTACATATTAAAAAACTACGTTAAAAGTTCTACAAAACAAGAACTGACAAAAATATTTTATTTTATCAAATATTTAATGAAATCGCGTAAACAAACAAAAGTTACCGAGAAGAGAGAAAAAAAAATTGTAATCTATTTAGGGACGGAGGAGTATATTACAAAAAATAATATATTTTAAAACTATGTTTCAAAATAAATCTATTCATAATAAATTTATATAAAAATTTAATATATATTTTTCGTGATATACAGTCAAAGTTTCAAAAATGTAACTACAAAAGTTAAACTGAGGAATTAATTAGGACGGAGGAAGAATATGATATGGAGTATATTAATTAAATAGAATAATGTTTTAAAAATATTTTTATTAATATCTAATATCTACGGAGTATTTTATTTAATCAATAATAAAAACTATCAATTTTAACTTTGAAAATTAAGATTGGATAAAAATTGTCAATTATGTTCACATTAACACTTCTCTTTGTAGTCCTCCCTTGCCCCTTTTGAATCTTGATAGGTAATATTTTAATCATTAATATCGTTAGATAAATATATATCATAAAAATATAATATTTCAAAATAAATTTATTAATATTAAATTTATACTCACCATCCAATGCACTTTTTTAGTCCATTTTATCTTGTAATTTGTATATTAAAAAATTATAAAAATTATATATTAATAATCTATATGTTAAGACAAATCAAACAAGATCACACATGACTATATTTAGATTTACATATTCAGAGAATTTGATGAGTCAAATTGCTAAGATAAACAGTTCCAAAAGTCAAATGTGGACAAATACAAGGAGACGGGGAAGTATAATTTAACAATTCAACATATTTTTGTTATTATTTATAATCAGATTTTATAAAATTGATTTTGAAAGTCAAACTGAATCAAAAGGGACGGAGAGAGAGTACATTTTACTTTTTTACTCCATCTTTAAAAAATCTTTGTTTTCTTTTTGGAGTGTTTCAAAAAAAAGCTTTTTCCTTTTTTTAAAAAAAAAATTGACTGACAATTTTTTTTACTCCACATTACTTTCAACCAAACATTATTTTGTTTACATAAAGGAATACTTCATCCGTTCCAAAAAGAATTTATTTTCTTTTTGGAACGTCTCAAGCCTCTTCTTTCTCTTTTTCTATATCATTTTCAAATTTCAACCACACATTTTCAATTTCTTTAAAATTTAAGGCAAGTTAACTAAGAGCCTTTTATAGGAGGGAGGGTATCAATTTGTTACATAGAACATTTTATACACCACTTGTGTTTGAAAACCCTCTTTCTACGTACCCCTAACCTAGGAGTTGATAACAAAAAAACATTTATTTCTCCATATAAGTGTTGGGAGAGAAAAGGGTTCAATGTTCTACATATAACAAAAAGTAGTGGGAAAATAAGCGGAAAAGCAATGCTACTTTAATCACAAGGTTGACATCAAAGACAACATCATTGTCTCCATTGTCTGTGAGTCTCTATAAAACACTAGTGATGTAAACATTAGTGTCATCTATGATGTGACTGTAGCATAATCCTCTGTAGCATAATCATCAATGGAAAAGCCGGTGCAGTGCCTCGTTACGGATGATTCTAGCTGTAAACCGGAGCATTAACAAAATCATCAAGTTCTTTCTTGCTCTTAACCAAACACCTCAAACTCGTGTCATTGTCTACTTGGTCCAAATCCTCGACTATCCCCATGTAACCATACATTGTCGTCTCCTGATCAAGTTCTTTATGGTTCTTTTCCTGCTTTTCAGAAGCAGTTTGCTTATTAAAGCCTTCTCTTCCATGCCCCTTCTCAAGAAACCACCCATGGAGCTTCTCTGCTTCTTTTAAGCCCGAAGCCGTGGCCAAGAATTTCACCACAACTACGCTCCCATTTGCAGGCTTCCCAAGGCAAATCTTTAGTTTACTCGTATTAAAACCTTCGCCTGTCAGTATATATATAATCGCAAGATAAGGACCGAAGGGCGTATCATTATTCAGTGTAATCCTACTGGTGTGTATAGTAAAAGTTCCAGGATATCTTGCCTGCATCAATGAGATCTACTAGTCTATAATTTATGACTTATCGTTATTAGATGTATTTACACTGGACCTAAATCTTAATAATACTTAATCTGTGATACCATTCTATCATGTAAAGCATGGCTAAAGACGACCCAAAAAGGAAAGATGGTAATTTTTTAAAGGGGATAGGGGAATATGATTGGTCAATAAAAAGATGTTTTTTCTTTTGTTGTGATAGTACAGTAGTGACTTGATTTTGATAAGGATAATGCCTGGTTTTGTACTTTTTGCCAATAATATACTTTAGGAAACTAACAACTAGGCACTAGATGTGAATAAGATCAGAATCATTCCCTAGTTTATTGAAGGCATTGTTAATTAGAAAGGGCAACTACCCTACATGTTGACTATTATAAAAGGCCTAAAGCTATTCATAATACATGAAAAAATTGGTAGCAGATCAAGATCAAACAATGCATTAACAATAGCAGATATCAAATGTTAAGTGCTAATGTGATATACTTACCCCTCAGACAACCCTCTACCCTGGTTATACTTGTGACTTGATGTTCTTGTGGACCAGAGCTCAATTTGGTACAGTTTTGAACTATAACAATGGGTGGCCAGAGTATAAGGTCCTCTCTTTGTGCCAAAGCAGCAGAATGAGGAATCTGACGTGGCTGCCATGCCGCAAGTCCTGTGATGTTAGGACCCACAACGGCGTTCCATCCCATCAGGACACAAATTGCCGTGAGAAGACCCAAGTGTTTAGCTTTCAAGTCAACCTTTTGTGACATAAAGCAATGTGCCCCTAGGGCTTGAGTATCCTTGAATGTTCTTCATTGGTTAAATGGAAAAGTATTTTAGAATTTTAGAATTTACACAAATCAAGAAAAATAGGAACTACGGGGTATATGTTACAAATTCTATATACGGATCATACAAATTACAATAATAAAATGAAAGATGAGATGAAAATGATATCTGCATGTGTGCATTTATGCGTATACGTGTAGGGTTAATCACTTTGCATTGTCTATTAGAAAACTAATTTGTCATTTTGGAAAGGCATAACTGGTCATCAAGACATTATCATACATTATTCATCTTGTGAAATGTCTATACTGCTGGTAAAGGTTGTGATATGAAATCAAATTGGAATAAAATGTAAACTAATAGATCAACTTGGAAAATTAATAAGTAGTGTTAAGGAGTGCATACCTATTCCCACAAACAAGACATGAAAGGCTACCCGCCTTTCCTTGTTCCATGTACCTCTTACGAGTAGGCAGATCTTTATACAATGTTTTGGTGAAAAATAAGAAAAAATTATAAACCAGTTTATTAAACTTCAAAGAATCCTCAGATTGTGCTATTTTTGCATAACACACCAAGGCACCTTTTGACTCCTCAGTTTTCTTTTCATGCACCTCCTCCACCTGTTTATCGACATTTCCTCTTATCCAAACATTCTTAGGAATGGAAGTCAGATTCTGACCAACTTTATGTCGTTTCCTTGGTTCATCTTGCTTGATAGGGAGCTGTTTTGGCCACATTTCCTCAGATGCATGACAGACCTTTTTGCACTGCTCAAACTCATGATCCAATCTCTTAGGCAACAATATATGACCATCATATTCATCCTTACCGCCATGAACTCCATCATTAGTAGCAGTCAATTTCCTTGACAAATCCCCACTAGAACCATGCATGTTCATATCATCAACCAAACTAGAACTCCTCTTCAATGACCTGCCAGATGCATCATTGTCACCATTATCACTTTCACGGTTCAATATTTCTCGTGGGACGCACAAATTTGGCATCTCTATTTCACTGAAGTTCTGCTTCCTGGAATGAGCATTTCTGCTGTCCAGATAAATATCATCTGGATGTCCAATATAAGGCAAGGTTCTATAAGGAGAGTTCAAAGCAAATTTCATCCCTGAATTACAATGATCAGAAACACTGCAGCCAATTGGATTAGCATGGTATATATCAAGCTTCTCCTTATCTGTGTTCAAGACTCTAGATGGACTAACACCCAATTCAGGGAAAATCCTCCTCCTTTTTACCCACTCAGAGCTATAATCTTCTTTAAGCCTTGCTTGGGGGGACAAACGGTACGAATAGTCAAGGCACTTTGTCCTTCTACAATTGCATCTATCTTCATAATTGAACTCTTCTCTGTTCTCACCTAGAAACACTCTTCCTCTCAATTCTGCAGAGTTCAAACGATGAGTGCCCATCAGTTTATCCATATCATCTCGAAATGATAAACCACCACTTGATATAAAACCCTTGGGCTTAGAATAAACCCCAATCCTTTCCCTCCTACCATACATCTCCATGTCTGTCAATCTGCCCAGCAGATTTGGGTCCGGGTGACCAATCCACCTCTGATGCGGCGAAGAAGCCAAACTCCTCCGACCATCCAAATCAAAATCCACTTCTGCTACTCCTCGGCCTGACATCTTGTCCTGCAACCTTTGCCTGGAATATTCATGCTCAGAAGCCCTCAACAATCTCTCTGCCCCAACACTGTCATATCTAGCAGCTCTAGATCCCGCGATTTCATGGTCACACCTAAAACTAGAGTTCTTATAATCAGAGAGCTCATATCCTATCCTATTATGACTCGGAGTCCTAAAACAACATTGAGATTGATCTGCTTCTTCCATACCATGGCTATGCATCAAATAAGGGTCAGAGCTCAAATCAATCCCGCGCTCTCTGATCCAGGCAGCCATAGACCGTCCCGAGGCAATATCATCGTCCTCTTCGCGTGACATTTCCCTAACCCTTGTTAGACGGAACCCTAACCAGTAACCCTAGACATGTACGCGAGCAACTGATGAGCAAGTGAAGAGCGGTGACCTGCGCAAAGGAGGAGAGAATCCCGGCGAGAAGTATAAAACTCAATCAGCCATTGATGGCGCGGCATATCAGCGTCTCATTGCTGTTTGAAATTCTGCAGGAGGGTTTTGGAGCATCCAGAGAATTGCGCAGGGAAGGGCCGGCTCCGTACTCTATCCCTGCATGTTGTTCTTCGAGGTTCGTACGATAGAGCTATATATTGTGATTGGACCTGTGACGGCTCTTTCGGATGTAAGCTAGTTCTTGGAAGTTTGATAAATTTTGATTTTTAATTGCTCCCAATCAATCTATTATTTAAAAAGCCATGAATTTGCATTGTTCTTTTCCCGCCCATTTCATGGTGTAGAAAATATGGTAATTCTTCACTCCATATAGTAATTATTAAATGGTAATTAATGGATCATTAAAATAACCGTGTATAAAAAAGGTGTGAAAAAAGTATAAAAACTGTGTATAAAAAAGGTAACGAATGCTCAACTAAAAATGGTAATTTAATATAACCGTTTAATTAAAATGGTAACGAATGATAATTTAATATAAACGTGTATAAAAAAGGTAATGAATGGAAATTTAATTTAGTTACCGTAATTGAGTAATTACTCAATTAATATTACCGTGAATATAAAATTAGTGTAATTGTGATCAACATATAACCGTGTAATTTAAAATAACCGTGTATAAAAAAGGTATAAAAGCCGTGTATAAAAAAGGTAACGAATGCTCAACTAAAAATGGTAATTTAATATAACCGTGTAATTAAAATCGTAACGAATGTTAATTTAATATAAACGTGTGTAAAAAAGGTAACGAATGGAAATTTAATTTAATTTACTTACCATAATTGAGTAAGTACTCAACTAATATTACCGTGAATATAAAATTAGGGTAATTGTGATCAACATATAACCGTGTATAAAAAAGGTATAAAAATCGTGTATAAAAAAGGTAACGAATGCTCAACTAAAAATGGCAATTTAATATAACCGTGTAATTAAAATGGCAACGAATGTTAATGGTAATTTAATATAAATGTGTATAAAAAAGGTACGAATGGAAATTTTATTTAATTTAGCTCCTATATTTTTGTATATAAAAACGTATGAAATAAAACAATTTATACGAATGGTAATAATAAAAGGTAACAGAAAAGGTATTTAAAGATGTAATTACCATAATAAACTTTAGTTGTATTTGCTTAAAATTCCAGAGAAAGGAATTATATGTTACCATAAACTTTAATTGTAATTACCACAATTTCATTTCGTTACCATAATATAATAGATTACCGTAATAAACCATAATTGTATGTAATTATAATTACCATTACCATACAAAACTTTAATTCTTCGTGAAAATTCTGGATAGTATAAATACACTACCTTACCATGCCAGAAAATTAAACGAGTGTTCAGGAAACGAGAGTTTTAGAGAGTTTTAATTAATCGGTACTTCACCTCTGTTTTTGGCCGAACATGGGAATGATTACCGCCCTAAAAAATGTTCATGAAAAATACGGGTTGTTGATGGTGAAGCTAAAAGCAATTAGAGTTTACCACGTTGCTGCTCATTCTCGAGGGCCGGAATCGTTGGATGTTGTTTTCCACGACTCACAGGTTAGTTCTACATTATTTTATATTTTTACATATAATAGATCTTTAAACAAAAAATATAAATTTAATTATAGATTAACGTTTTATATTTGTTGTTAAGGCGATCGGATCCATGCTCAAATTACAGATACTGGTATAAGCACATTCAAACAAGCTTTGGAAGAAAATGCGGTTTACTTAATCATGAGGATCAAGGTTTTATGCAATTTTCCAAGGCACAAAAATTACCAATCACCCTTGCATACTCCAATTTTTGGGAAAGACCAAGATTCAAAAAGTAACAGAAAATGGATTTCCTAATTTTCGATTCTACTTTAAGAGTTTTGAAGATGTACTCAAAACAAAGTTTGCTGACCAGGTCTTTTTAGTTGGTAAGAGTGATTTACATTTACATAACTTAAATACTTACACATATGAAATACATTTTATGTATTATAATTATGAAATTTTTAAAATTGTATTTTTATGGATTTTCAGATATAATCGGGAAAGTAGTTAGTCGAACTGCGCCCGAAACCCGTATGGTTAATAAGGCCCCAGAGCAAAAATGATGGAAGTTACCTTGGAGAACCACAAGTAAGTGACTTTTTAATAACCAAATTCATTTTAATTAAAAAAAATATTATACTTTGAAAAAATTACTATATAATTCATTTGCATGATACGTTATTTTATGGTTAGCTAATTACTAAAAAATTGCGACACATATTATATTTAAAAATAATTATAACTTTTTTTTGTAGTGGCATTCGGTTGAATTGTACGTTATGGGGAAATCACGTCAATGTTTTCATTCGGTTGAAAGTAACTTAATATATGAGCTAAATTAATTTATTTAATTTAGCTCCTATATTAAGTTAGAAAAAAATTAAGTTACTTTTCACCTTAAATGTATTGCATATTCATCTATGGTAATAGACTTATTTCATGCATTCCACAAAGAGTATTTTTAAATTATTGAATCATATATAATTTAAAGGGTATACACGGGATTTACTAATTAAATTAGTAAACAGTTAATAATTTAGGAAATAATTTTGGCTTTTATGGAAATACGTGTCCATTTTTTTGAATAATTCTAATTTAGTTTTAATACCCGAGTAATAAAAAGTAAATTTATTAATGATAAGAGTTTAAGTGAGAATTAGGCTTTAATTTTATTTTCTTTCCTGAATTATTCACTATTTGCAAATTACGTTAGTTTATAAATTGTGAATAAGATTAATTTTTATGAGCTATTAATAATTTAGTATTGCAGAAAGTAAATAATGGCATAATTTGAATATTTAAATTTAATTCAAGTAGTCACGAGAGACCAAAAAGGGAAAAAAAATACAAATTTCTATTTAAATACCTAAATTAATTAGACGTATTTTCTAATTTCCTAATTTATGAAAAAACTGGATTCCATTCTTATTTGGAATTAGTAATTATGTACGGATATAATTTAATAAATACCCTAATAATATTAATAGTCGATTGATTTTCTTTATTTTAAATAATTACTACACGTAAATATATATATTTAATAGTAATGCAAATTTATTGATGTCTATAAAGAAGTCTTTCGAAATTTGTAAACATTGATGTTTTGTACTTTCAAATAATATAATCTCTATATTCTATTGCATCTCATTTTTTATCATTGAAAAATGATCTGAATTTAATAACATAAAAATGACCCGTGCAACGCACGGGTGTGATACTAGTGTGTATTAGAGATTACTGATCATGAGATAAAATTTAGAAAGATCCAGGGCATGAGATTAGAGATTATAATAATATACATTACAAATTACTTAGTACATCCAGGGCCGTCTCCAAGAAATTAGGGGCCCTGTCCGACACGGAGAAAATGCGTCATTGTTTGATAAAAAATTAAAATTTATCAATTAATTTTTTTAATAATATATAACATTGTAGTAATAATAAAATGTCAGACTCATAGTGTTATAAGTTTGCAATTATATACTCCGAACTCTGATACCTGACTGAAGACTCGTGAAGTTGTTCTATTATTCTTGAGAGAAAATAGGTTGATCACCTCTTCATAGTTTATTAGATTTAATGACTTAGAACTGTATTTTTTAAAATAAATCAAGATTATTTTATATAAATAAATATATACATGTAGGTATACAAAAATTGGGCCCCATTCAAAAATGGGCCCTGGCCAAATGACCACTTTGCCCCTCCTTTGAGCCGCCCCTGAGTACATCATTTGATTCGCAAACCTCCAATTCTAGCAAGTTAAATCCCTTTGGAGTTAGAAACTTCTAGAACAAATGGAAACTATAAGGAATCTCATTGGCACTCTGCTTTCTTCACCAAGTTTGTTCCATACAAGCAGAGACTCGATTATCTAGATGATGGAAGAAGTGGTCATACACCATGCTGCTATTGTGGATGATGCAATTGGATCTAAATTAAAGGGACTAGGCGCATAACCATAAATCAGAGATGAAGTGGATCGTGGGGTTGACACCATGGATGAAGAGGGTATTATTTTTATGGAAGATGACGAGACACCCTACAAGCTAGATTACTTAACATCTCGTGTTGAAAGCGTTGCAAAGGATCGATATCTGGGCGAAAGCCAACAACTTGTACCTTTATTGGTTAGTGTTTATGGTAGAGTAGTTAGTACTTTGGCATTTATTATTTGATAGCTATTGTAATTTAGTTTTATTAGGTAAACAAAATTATAAGTTCATTCAATAGTTTTTTTTTTCAATTCTTTGCCTGAATGTACCTTTTGAATGGAGAGAGTTAGAGTTAAATTTCATAGTTTAGTTAGAATTAAGATTCCTCTCTCTATACTCCATAAATAAAGATGTACCCCTTAGGTTAACAATCATGAATAACAAATCAAAAGTTTTCTTTCTCTTTCTATACTCCATAAATAGAGATGTACCCCTTAGGTTAACAATCATGAATAACAAATCAAAAGTTTTCTTTCTCTTTGAGAGTTCAAAAACACTTAAAGTTTGTACTCCCTCCGTCCTAAAATTAACTTCTCAGTTTGACTTTTGTAGTCAAACTTTTTAAACTTTGACCGTATATTACGAAAAAAATACATTGAATTTTCATATAAATTTATTAGAAATAGATTCATTTTGAAACATAGTTTTGAAATCTATAATTTTTATAAAATATATTTATATAAAAATTGAGCTATTGATGATCAAAGTGTCGCATTGGAGACCGTGAAAAGTCAAATGAAAAATTAATTTTAGGACGGAGGGAGTATCTTTTTCATCCTATTCTTTTTGAGAGCCTGAAAACGCTTAAAATTCTTCTTTATCTTGATACAATATTTACAAGATTCGTATATTGAGTTCCCAAACCACCCAGCGCCGAAGAAGTCTCAACATCTCTCTTTCTCGCACGAGAACACTTCAAAGAACCGATATCAACTGAATTACTTGGGTTAATGGCCATCTTTTAATATAATAATGTAGAATTATAGTCATGTCGTAACAATACTATTCATTCTTTCATTCAAGAAATATAGTTTTGAGGTGTACTTTAAACTATGAAAAGATATAATAAATTTATTAAAGAATTTATATGTTTTTGTATTTAATATACATTACAATTACAAATTATATCGATGATCAATAATTAGATTTGAAACAAGTTCCGAGAAGTGTATGCCTTTAATTTTCTAATACATACAAAGTACTCCCTCCGTCCACAAATAAACTTTACATTACGCGTTACGATGTTTGACTGAAGTTATTTTCAAATCATTTTATATAAAAATGGTGTAAAATTGAAAAATAAAAATTACATATTAAAAAACTATATCAAAAGATCTACAAAACTAGAGTTGACATGACTATATTATTTTATCAAATGAGTGACGAAAATAGGCCAACAAAGTGAATAAAGTTTGACCCTGTGAATAGTGAACGTAAAGTTTATTTGTGGACGGGAGGAGTATTAACTTATAGTGGCGGATGTAGCATATATTAGTTGGGAGTCAATGCCCCCTACTAATTTTTTTTTGAAGTAAGGTAGTTTTTTTGGCTATATATGCATATGCACCAACTAAAATTAAGTAGACTCCATCTACTTAGATTAATTTTTACCTTTTTATTTAATTGTTTTTAATAAAGTATTTTTTATTAAATATAATCAATTATTTATAAAATAAAATATTATATTGCCTATTGAAAAAAGTTTCACTTTCAATAAAATGTTTGAATTGAAATTCATTATTTTTATATCATTTCTTATTACCTATTTTTTTTAAATCTAGGGGCGCTACCCCGGACATCTGATCAATGGTACCCCCAACTATCTTAATTCCTGGATCCACCTTTGTTAACTTAGATGCCTGATAGAATCCTTAAAAAATCTTTAACTTATTCGCCAAATGATTAAATTAAAAAGTTCTATCTTGTAAAGAAAATCTGAAACAATTAATATAAATAGTTGACTCGAAATTGCTTTCAAACTGTTAACACAAACATCTACTAACAACAAAGTGCTATAATGAAATAGAGAAAAAAATGTAATCTAGCATGCATGGATAACTTAACTGGTTCAAGGAAAGGATATGAAACACAAAAATTTTGGACCGAATTTCGGCAACTACAGTGTGAGAGTTTTATTTTTTGTAATAGTTTCTTGTGCGCACCGACACTGGATTGTCTTTCTAAAAGACTAGATTAATATTATAACATGATTTATTTTCCTCAGTATTCTGTGAGGCCGCGGCTTTTAAGAAAATGTAATCTAGAGGACTTTTGGTAAACAGGGAAGAAAACTACTACTACTTGAAGTGATATCTTATCTTACTCTTTACAAAAGCCACCGGAAAAAAATCCAGCTCAAATTTCCGGACGGTTACTATGCAAGTTTGGGCTGACGGAGTAGTGAATATTCTACTTTTCCTTTTAGGTCCCGTTTTTATGGAATTGGAATTGAGGACTTCAATTCCAATTCTCATGTTTGGTAGCACAAAAATTATGTGAATTTGGAATTGGTAGTGCAAAAAAATGAATTGGAATTGATGAATTCAATTCTATAGAATTGAATCCCATGGAATTTTAATTCCAATTCTATCAATTCCTTGATACAATTGATACATAGTTTCATCATCATTGATAGATGGTGCCAATCATTTAGTGGTATAATTTATAATTAAAATTTATCCATTCTAACTAGAGACAATATTTTATTATTTTGAGATGTGGATGACATTCTCAAGTTTATCAACACAATTGAATTTTCAATGCACAAAGACCTACCGAGCATTTAATTAGTTTAGTATTCTTTTGTATGCATGTACACCGTACCTCACAAAGACAAAAATTTCAGTATATTTTATTTTGTTTTTCGATTCTCTATTTTTGTAAAGATAGCTCAACATGTTCGATCAAGAGGATATACTCTTTTAATTACATTCAAACTTTCACCAAACTATGCATATTTTGTGTATGGAGTAGATCAACTAGCTACACCATATAAGGAATCTTAATAGAGGATTGCTGTGTTTGATGGGTGGGGGGATTCCACTGGATTTGGACCCGAAGGTACCTGCCTTTTTATGCTCCCCTCTTCTACCCAACGTAGAATCTCTGTATTGGTAGAGTCTTGTCGTCTAGAGAGGTCTGATAATGTTTTTGATGGGTCAGGAGATTCAATTGGGTTTGGGCCTGAAGGCACCAGTCTTTTCATGCCTCCCTCGTCCACCCACTGTGAAATCTCTGTATCGATTTCTGATGGGTCAGGAGACCCAATTGGGTCTGGGCCTGAAGGCACCAGTCTTTTCATGCCTCCCTCGTGCACCCATTGTGGAATCTCTGTATCGATTTTTGATGGGTCAGGAGACCCAATTGGGTTTGGGCCTGAAGGCACCAGTCTTTTCATGCCTCCCTCGTCCACCCACTGTGAAATCTCTGTATCAATTTTTGATGGGTTAGGAGACCCAATTGGGTCTGGGCCTGAAGGCACCAGTCTTTTCATGCCTCTCTTATGCACCGACTGTGAAATCTCTATATCGATTTTTGATGGGTTAAGAGACCCAATTGGGTCTGGGCCTGATGGCACGAGTCTCTTCATGCTTCCCTCCTCCACCCAATGTGGAATCTTCGTATTGATCGAGGCTTGTAGATTGAAGAGACCAGACAAAATCTTTGATGAAATAGGTGGCTCAATTGGATCCGGACCTTTAGGTACTAGCCTTTTCACATCTCCCTTCATGAGCAATTTAGGGTAGTGAATGATGTGGCGTAAATTGCCCTTCATTGATCTTTGAGGCTGGTCTTTATTTGTAGATTCTGTTGAAAGTATTAGGAAAATGAGTGAGAATATGAAGATATGAAATTCATATTCAAACTTTTTGTTGGAGACCCAAGAAGTAGATGTTTTCATGGTGGTGTGTTTTGGGAAATGCAATTGCAACTCTTCTAATAAACGATTAGAGCAATATCTTCTTATATATACTCTCTAGAATGTGTATTTGAATGAATATACGGATACATACAACTCGTAACGCATAATCTTAAATATTTTTGATAATTTGTTATTGGGAGTAAGTGAGTAAATGATTAGGATTTTCAAAGGATCGCAATAAGGGTCCGTTCTGTATGACTTATTTTTTCTACTTATTACTTATTCTTATTAAAATCAGATCAGATCAGATCAGACCAGACCTAATCAGATCAGATCAGACTAAATCAGACTAGATCAGATCCAATAAGATTAGACTAGATCCAATCAGATCAGATCAGATCCAATCAGATCAGATCAGATCCAATCAGATCAGACCAGATCCAATCAGACAAATCAAGAAAAAATATAAAAATAATATTTATATTTTTCAAGTATTAAATAATAATTACTATTATTTGATTAAAACATATTACTTTATTTAAAACTACACACACCAAAATCTTAATTAATATTATAATTTTAATTATTATTATTGTAGTTATTATTATTATTATTATTGTATTATTGTTGTTGTTGTTGTTGTTATTGTTGTTGTTGTTGTTGTTGTTGTTGTTATATTTCAACTACAAACTTCTATTTTTAATAATTGCTTGGCTTGTAGGATAGAAATGATGCATGGAAGCAATGTTAAAGCTATAAAAGTTGTATTTTTCATACTTAAAAAAGAGTTATTTTAAAATATTTGTTTATAAAATAATTATACAAAAACTTAGTTTTCAAAACCATAAATATTTTATACTTAAAAAGACTTTTTTTAAAAAACTTTAAGATGATATAATATACACAAGGGTGAGTTTATGACAAAATTGATAGAGGTGAAAGGGATATTAGTGCTTAAAATTTTATATGATCTTTAATTTGTAACATAAAATATATTATTATGTAATATGCATATAGAATGTGATATTTTGTAGAATAGCATCAATATTTTCTAATATTTGGTTATTTTAATGCCAATTATTTAGTTTTCACAAAAATTTAAAAAGTTGTGATATTGAAGTAATGTTTAATATTTTTTAAAAAAGTTTAAACATATCAATGATTAGCTGATTTTCTTATTTTACTTTTTTTTATGTATATATGAGTTGTAATACTTTAAAACTATTAAATTTTGTAACAATTTTAAGTTTAATTTAAATCAAATTAAAATCCATTTACACCAGATCTAATTAGATAAAATCAGATCCAATCAGATCAGATTGAATAAGATCAGATCAGACCTAATCAGATCAGATCAGACCCAATCAGATCAGATCAGATCCAATCAGATCAGATCAGATTGAATCAGATCAGATTGAATCAGATCAGATCAGACCCAATCAAATTAGAACTTCAAAAATTCAGATTAGATTCAATCAGATCAGGCGTACGGAACAGGGCCTAAATCCCATCATATGCAATGCTGAGTAATTTGTTCCTTGATTTGCATTACGGAAAATCATATGCAATGCAATAAATCCCATCATATGCAATGCAATTAGTATAACGGAAAATCAAATCAATTATAAGATCATTAGATTGAAACGTTTGTGGCATTTAAAATATAGTGTGAAATGGGTTAGTCCTGTTGAAGTAGTGAAAATAAAGAAATTTTCCCACCCAACGCATTTCTTTGAGAACTATCGATCTTTGATCGTTTTTTCGATCTACTACTGATATTATTGACGAATACAAATAGTGAAATTTGCACTAAATAAGATTAAAACATAATGACTTTCCAAATCTAGGACTTAAACTTTTTATTCCCTAAATAGGACTTAATAATGTCTTAGTGGGTGAAATAATGTCCAGTAATGATGGATATTTACTTAAATAATGACTAATTCATAATGACCAAATGTCTTACATTGGGAAATAAAAACATATGATCCTATATTGGGAAAATCATTATGTCCTTGTTTGGGAATAACGTTAGAGATTAGTGTTAGCGTTTTGAAAAGGCTATCTACGGCCAGCGTTTAGCGTTAGCGTTTTCAAAGTAATCTGCACCGTTAAAATCTTATCCAAAACGCTAACGCTAATCTCTAACGCTATTCCCAAACAGGCCCTATGTTTTAGTCTTATTTAAGTAAATTATTCATACAAATATTCAAAGACGGTAACAATTTCGAGCATAATTATGTTACATTATTAGAATAGAATTAATGCAAGAACCATACAGTTACGATAATAATTAAATAGAAATGGAAAGAATTAAATAAAAGAGGCAATAAATAAATATGGTAAGAATTATACATTAAGAATTTTAAAAGAATGGTAATAATTAAATAATAGCATTAAGAATTTAAAATAAATACTAAGAATTAAATGATTACTGTTAAGAGTATGAAAAAGTGTGAGGAAAATAATCGATATATAAGCTCTTGAGTTGAACTAACTAATCGATTGGATTCAATCTTTTAATGTGGTTCAGCCCAAGTGTCTTATAGCCCAATCTAGTCGTCCATACTCATCCTAAATTCTATCATGGTATCAGAGCAGGTTTTGACCCACCTCGTTTGTCAAGGTGTCCGTCTAGACGCTCATTCCTAGTGACCCGTTTGCCTTTAGCCCAGTGTTCCGTATGAAGTATGTACTCAACGGCCTGTGGCCCGTTTAACACGATTGCTCGTTTGGAAGTCCATACTCAGCGGCTCGTGGTCCTTTAGGTGTTGGCGCTCAAAAAAAGTCAATGGAATGGGAGTTTATTTGCAAGTGATCAACCGGTTAGATTCAAAATGACCCGGTTGTCCACTTGAGGGGGAGTGTTAAGAGTATTCCACATCGGAAAAGTGTGAGGAAAATAATCGGTATATAAGCTCTTGAATTGAACTAACTAATCGATTGGATTCAATCTTTTAATATGGTTCAGCCCAAGTGTCTTATAGCCCAATCTAGTTGTCCATACCCATCCTAAATTCTATCAATTACATTATTATAATTAAAGGAGGAAATAAATAAATATGTAACAATCAAATAAGCCTTCAACTACGTTCACGGAAATCATACATTAAAGAAATTAAAAAAAACGTAAGAATTAAGAAATACATTAAGAATTGAAAAAATGGTAAGAATCAAATAATAACATTATTAGAAAGGATGAAATAAATATGGTACCAATTGAATAGGCCTTCACTTGCTACATAGGAAAACATACGTTAAGAATTAAGAAAAAATGTGCGGTTTTAAAAATTACATTATTAAAATTAAAGGATGAAATAAATAAAAATGGTAAGAACAAACCATACGGTAAATATTAAAGAATATGGAATTAATTACTCGTATATAATTACATTATTAGAATAAAAGAGGAAATAAATAAATATAGTAAGAATTAAATAAGCCTTCAAATGCAAGAGAGAAATTAAAACCATATGGTAAGAATTAACAAAATGGTAAGAATTAAATCATTTTGTTAAGAATTAAAAACAAAAATGTTAAGAATCAAATAATTACATGATTAAAATTAAAGGAGGAAATAAATAAATAAATAAATAAATATGTAACAATTAAATAAGCCTTCAATTGCATAAGAGGAAACCATACCGTAAACGAATTAAAAAAATGGTAAGAATTAAAATATTTACTTTACTAAAGTTAAATAAGGAAACAAATAAAGTGGTAAGAATAAGAATTAAATAATTACATTAAGCATTAAAAAAGGTAAAAATTAAATACTTACATTATTATAGTAATTAAAGAAGGAAATAAATAAATATGGTAAGAATTAAATATGCCTTCAATCCCGATTCCCGATACATGAAAGCACACTGTAAAGGAATTAAACACATGTTAAGAATTAAATAATTACATTTTTAAAATTAAAGAAGGAAATAAATAGAAATGGTAAGAATAACATAAGCCTTCAAAATTAAATGGACGGTAAATAAAGGAAGTTTGCAAAATAAATTTTTTTATAAAAATTTGTTTCCTTCACGAAATTAAATTATTTGTACAAATAGCGACACACCCCGTGCTGCGGAGAAAACATATCCACTTCTTGACGATATATTGTTCACACTTTTTATACAAACAGAGATATACAAGCATGGGTATGTGGTCGACGCTCGATAAGATTGATTAAAGTTTTGTCACATTCATGATTAAATTGATAGCTATAAGTTAAGGGTTTATCAAATCCCTTCTCATTCTCGAAAGACAGAATCTCTTGATGTTATATTTCATGATAAAAATGTTAATTATATTTTTATTGCGATCCATAATTAGTGTAAGTATTAAACAAAATAAGTATAATTAAATTAGAAACTAATGCTTGCTTTTACAGAGAGGTCAGATTTATGTGCAAACAAAAGATCCGCATATCAATACTTTCAAAGATGATCTCAAAGAAAAACAAAGTTTATGTTTTGACCAAGTTTAAACTTCAGCTCAATTTTCAAACCACCAAAACTACAACCCATCCTTATATGCTGTAATTTTTTTGGCAAGATGAAGCTTCTAAAAATATCTTCAAAATTATTTCCTAATTTAAATCGCAAATTTATGTCATTCAATGACATACAATTGTTGCCCTTGGTTGACGATATCCTTTTGATTGGCTCGTAATAATTTATATGAAATATTTTAATATAAATTACATCTATGGTAATAAATAGACTAACCCTTATAAGAGTCGAGGTGAATCTCTAAGGCACATGAGACTATTGTTACGGAAACTAGTATTAAGTCATAGACAAGACAACTATATGTTGCGGTTTAAAGAAAAATAAATTCTAATGACTTGAAGATTCTCTTATACGACATGGAGGATTTTTCCACAAGATATACCAGTAATATAATTTATAAAGAAGTTTTCTAAAATTTTCAATTTAAAAAATATTTATTCTTTAAAATAATGAAAAACCTTATATTTCATTATATTGTAATTCTTTCATTCAATAATAACATAGATAAACATTTATAACGTATAAATATGAGCCATGCATCGCACGGGTGCGATACTAGTAAGAATGAATCGTGTATTACTGTGTAACAAGAATAATAATAATAATAATAATAATAACAACAATAACAATAACAATAATTATAACAACAACAACAACAATAATAATAATAAAACTGTGTAATAATGTTGCCATATTTAATCATTATTAATTTATTACCGTACTTAGTCATAATTATCATATTTAATCATTATTAATTTATTAATGTGTGATCTGATATGATTGGATCTGATTTTATTGGATTTGATCTGATTAATTATGATTTGATTTAAAATTCAAATCCATAATTTGATTTGACTTTATAATAACGTTTGCAAATTGTAATCATAATTCATATTATAATATAATCAATATTTTTTATTTTATGATTATTTTTTAATAAAGTAAAATTAGTTAATTCATATATTAGAATAATCATTCATATTATAATGTAATAATATTTTTTATTTTATGATTATTTTTTTGTGAAATTAGAATATTAATTTAATATTTTACTAATTACTTCATATACACATTATAATAAATATTTAATTTATATATACATTAAAAAGTAATTAAATTTAGATAATCAATATATAGAAGACATAATTAGCAATAAAATATTACAGGTATTTTATTACAGGTAGCAATAAAAATGTAGCAATAAAAATGTATTTTAAAAGTAAAATTAAATTGACATTGTCAATGTATTTTAAAAATAATTTTTCCAACGTCTAATAATTAATGATTACTTTTTCAGTTTTCTATTTAACTTATTTCTAAAGATTAATCTTTTTCATTTTAAGAATAATAATAATAATAATAATAATAATAATAATTCTTGATGGGATCTAATCTGGTCTGATTTGGTCTGATCTGATCTGATCTCATTGTATCTGATCTGATCTGAATCGATCTGGTCCGATTTTAATAAGAATAAGGAAAAAAAAGAAAAAAAAAGTTAAACGGAACGGGTCCTTAGTCATTATTATAGTGTAATAATTCTAATCAAATAAGCTTTCAATTTAATAATGTTTCCATTTAGAGATCCAGGACCAAACTTTTTATGGAGACATCGTTTTAAGAGGTGTGCCTTTAATACATGGAACGTATTGAATAATACATACCTTTGTATATTGAACAGTCGATCACTGATTAATAACTTATTTGGAAAATATTAGATGCATGAAAATAGAAAAATAAGCTAGTTTTTTCATATTATAAACACACTCATTCTCAATCACTTTTCGTAATTAGCCTCTTTCAATTTTTTTTGAATGACTTACACTCTACCCTCTTAAGTTCTTAAATAAGGTTCGTGCTTCCGAAGTAGAAAATCACGAGTTAACTTTGAAGGTAGACACACCTATTATGTCGTTGAGAAATATTGAATATTCATTTGGGTTTATGTAATGGTACATGGTTGATAGTAACTCGATTAGCTAATTACTAAATACAAAGAAAGATATTTATTGAAAGCATGTTGGATTATTATTACGTAAACTGTATGTTGCAGTTTCAAAAGTAACAAAATTAATGAAAACACCATAATTAGACAAATTACTATTCCGTATTTCTATATTCAACACTTACCTTTTGTACCTCACACGTATGAGCGGGAAAATGCAAGGCAAAATTCCCTTCGTTATAAATATAGTATATATTCAAATTAATCAAAAATGATCTTAATTTAGTAACATAAACATGATCCGTGCAACGCACACGAGTGTGATACTAGTGTGGATTAAAAAGGACATGCTCATGACAACCCATACTTTTTTCGCAATCGATGCCTTGATGGAGTTTATTTACTTTTGGTCCTGGGGTTTTAGCACAAACAGGTGTTACCTACGTTTTCAAGAAATGTCAATGGCCTATTAGCTCAGTTGGTTAGAGCGTCCTGCTAATAACGCGAAGGTCGCAGGTTCGAAACCTGCATGGGCCATTTTAATGATCTGCTTATATCCTAGTTATTTTGTTTTTGTATTTATAAATGTTTATGCATGATTACAGCATGATTGCCCGTCTAGCTCAGTTGGTAGAGCGCAAGGCTCTTAACCTTGTGGTCGTGGGTTCGAGCCCCACGGTGGGCGTAGTTGTTTTTTTAGGCCAAAATCCTTTTTTTTGCCTCCAAAATGTCTATACTTCATTTAGAATTGGAAATGAGTGGGGTCAGATTGGTGTTCTAAGTTATATCGAATTTAGATTAAAAAATACACGTTCATCATCAAGTATCATCAAATATAGATTAATCTATGGGATAATGAATTTTTTTCTACTTTTACCATTTGCATGCCTCTCTCTCCTTACACCTTCAGGCGTAAATCGACTACCATATTTTTTTTACAATTCATGATCGAGTTTCATCAGGTTTAGGTCAATCTATCATAGGAAGTATATTCTTCAATTAGCCAATATAATAGTGGTCTTCTTGATGTTCATTATCAACTACAGTGAATTTAAACTTGAAATCTTTTCTTCATTATTTTTGTGGTTTTTGTAATGAATGAGAATGCCATTATTAACATTATAAGTCATATCTTGGAATAGAAACAAAATGATCAAATAATTATTCTATGTATCTCTTCTCACAGTAACTTTTAATTACATAAATCTTGTAAGGACTTTAGCTTTTTGTACTCTTCCCGAGTTCTGTCTCGACTAAAATCATATATTTTGGTTTACAATATTTGACTAAAATTATTTTCAAGAAAATTATTTGAGAATCGAGGTGAAACAAAAAACAGAAAAACAATATTAAAAATTATAAAAAGTAAGAGATTGAAATGACTATATTATTTTATCAAATAATTAACAAAAATATGTAAACTAATGATTAACAAAATAAGATAAAATTTGGGATTTAAAGCACTAAACGCGCCACCTCACTAACATTATAAGTCATATCTTGGAATAGAAATAAAATGATCAAATAATTATTCTATGTCTCTGTTCTCACACTAAATTTTAATTACGTAAATCTTGTAAGGACTTTACCTTTTTGTACTCCTCCCGAGTTCCGTTTCAACTAAAATCATATATTTTGATTTACAATATTTGACTAAAATTATTTTCAAAAAAATTTATTCGAGGTGAAACTAAAAACAGAAAAACAATATAAAAAATTATAAAAAGTAAGAGATTGAAATGATAAAATTTGGGATTTAACGCATTAAACGCGCCACCTCAGTCCACACGGCGGAGTCGGCAACGACACCACCGGGAAGAGAGGCGGGAGAGAGAAAGGGGGGAGAGAAGATGTATTGCTGGGTTCGTGCATCTCCTTCAAATTCCAGCGGAGTTCCTCCGCAACCTCGTAGGTAAATACTCCCATGGCACTTGCATTTCTATTTTAATCTGTATCCGTTTAAGATTGCGTGTTCTTCGTTCTGAGATCTCTGAACTGTCTATTTTTGAAGTGGGCACACCGCGGTGAACATCAGACAATCGAAGGTGGCGATTTTTGGAGGGCTGGTAGATAAGACATTCGTCAGCGACATTACTGTTTATGACATTGGTACAATTGCATCACTATAGTGTACTCCCTATATGTTTGTTTCCTTGTTTGTTCATGTCAGGTTCTCAGCTACTGTAATTTAAATGGACTTTTCGTGGATCGTAACGACCAAGTTTGGGCGTTCAGTCGCCCACTTGATGACAGTCCCTTGCAAAAACATATCAATTTCTGAAATTAAACTGCACAATCACATGTTTCTTTGCTTTTTATCTAAGCATTTTATATCATCACACTTTTTATCTACAATGAAGTTATAGGAGACCCTACTTGTGGGGTTATGTTGGGTTTGTTGATGTTGTTGAAAACTTGAAATACAGCCCGGAAATGTGTGCTATCGATAGTGTATGTGTTTTGTCATCCATTTTGTCATATCATAAAAGAAGTTAATTTGTGCACCAATGTCGTCATTGACATGCCATTTTATAGTTTAAAGTTTTTAGACTTTAGATCATCGATGCTCAAGGTTAAATTTTGCACCCATTGGACTTTTAGAAGGGTGCAATATAAGATTAATACGTGTTTTTGTCGTCCGTAATTTCTTCTCCTTTTCAATAAATTAAAATCGAAGCCTCTGACTTCTTATCTGTTAATTTGGACATTATCTTTTGTGCCATTGGAGCCTTCGATAGCTGCTGTTTAAAATTTAATGTACTTGATACTATGGGATTCAAAGATTCTAACTTTCAAGAGAACACTTGCTTACTAGAGGTATGGTTGGTTCCTAAAGGGTAGTATGTTTGCTAAAACGGACTTAGAATAAGCCAGACGAGCATTTTCTTCATTGAAGTAGAAGTTGCATTGGGAGTTGGGACTGTCTTTTCTCAATCCTTTGCGTTTTTCATTGTCAAAAGCTCTCGTTTTTCCTAAATTCTGGAGTTTTTTATGTTTCAGAGAAAAAATCCTGGTTTCAGCCAGAGTGCTATGGCAGTGGCTCTGATGGCCGAGTAGGGCCTTGCCCACGAGCATTTCATGTTGCTATTGCAATTGACTGTCATATGTTCATTTTTGGTGGGAGGTCTGGCAGTAAAAGGTGTGTAGCTATTGGAAACCTTTATTGCTTTAGTGTTAACTAAAGGTTATCATTCTAGGTCATGTACTCATGTGAATGTCACTGATTGGTGAAGTGTTTCTGTACTTCACTTGCAGGCTAGGCGACTTTTGGGTCCTGGATACTGGTAAAGATGAAGTCTTATACAACTTTTTCTTTACTGCCATTTAGAGAAAAGAACCATGATGCTATTTTGCTTAAATGTCACATGCCCGAGTCATTTTTTAATGTTTTATTTATATATTCTAGATATCTGGCAATGGTCTGAACTTACAAGTTTAGGTGACCTGCCTTCAGCAAGAGATTTTGCAGCTGCTTCATCCATTGGAAATAGTAAAATTGTTTTGTAAGTTTCAAAAATCCATTGTTTAAGTGGATTTTGTTATTCTAGATGTCTTATTTAGCTTTAAATGGAGTACAGGTATGGTGGCTGGGATGGTAAAAAGTGGTTGTCTGATGTCTTTATTCTGGATACAAGTACTGCCTTTGTTACAAAATATTGATTTTCTGTGTTTTTAATCTTTAAATGTAGAAAGTATTCTCTATATAACAGATTGAATTATGTTTGTGTATCTGCAGTTTCTCTTGAATGGACAGAGTTGTCTATTTCAGGAGCTTTACCTCCACCAAGATGTGGCCATTCTGCTACTATGGTCGAGAAAAGGTTGCTTGTCTATGGTGGTAGAGGTAACATAAGATCTATAGGAATGGACCAATTCACAATTCATTCTTCTAGCCATGTATGTTTTGATTATTATTGTAGCAAGGTGCAAATCCTGCTTTATATCTTATTTATTTTGTTGATTTGGAAATTTTACTTAGCACATACACATTTATGAATATATGCGAAAAATTATCAATAGCTTCTTTCACAGAGGGTGACTTACTCAATAGTAGTTTTGTTCCCAAGTTTTTGTGGTGTAAGGAATTGGTTTTGGATTGGAGAATATCAAGATATTGTCGGTTTGGTGGGTTGAAATGGCCACCTTCTCCCAGTTAGTGGAAGGAAATATAAGAGAGTTAACGCAAATACACAATATATTGAATATATAAGAAATGTTTCAAGGTGCCTAAGAAATCGCCCTTCACCTCGTGGCTCATTCTGCACGGGGCCTTGCCTAGCAGAGGGTTGTTATGGTGTTGAGGAATTATCAACTCTCCTTTCTGTGAGAGTGTGACTTGCCAACCCCAATGGACCCCCCCACATGTATGGAAAGATAGTAAACTTGCCAAAGCTGTTTGGCGACTTATCATACCCGATGCTGCTGGAACAACCTTTTCGAATTTATGAATGTATCTAAAATGGAGGACTGGATAAATCGGAACTCTCACACTAGATCTTCGAGAAGACTAAACTTAATCCGGATCAGGCTAATCCATATGCCAGCTCTAGAAGAGGTGTTAAGTATGCTTTTGATGGTGTTGCTAGGTTTAGGCAAGATGTAGCCATGTAGGTAGGAAATAACAATTAGTTCTATATTGTAGTCATTTGGTGTGCCCTTAACTTTGTACCGTGGTTTATGCTTTGGAATGTATTTATTTCCCATTTTTCAATAAAAAGGAAAGACAATAAGGGCCGTTTGGTACACGAATTGATGGAATAGAAATTGGATTGGAAATTATATGGAATTGATTTGGATGGAATTGGATTATCCAATTCCAATTCATTTTTGGAACTACCAATTCCAAATTCACATATTTTTGTGCTACCAAACAGCAGAATTGGAATTGTTGTTCCCAATTCCAATTCCATAGTTTGAATTCCGTGTACCAAACGGAGCCTAAATGTAATATAACAAAATTAATGTACCTAGAGAAAGATATACACCCATATATATGACTATGTGAGTAAAGATATGCCTTATAGCATGGTAGGGCTACAGTAGTATTATGATCTAGGGTTCCCTTTTTTTCAATAACAAGGTGATTGAAAGTACTAATTAAATTTGAGTTCCATTGTTCTTTAGTACGGAGTACTAATTAAATTTGAGTTCTATTTTACCGCTTTTACCTAGCCTTTCACATGATTAAAAAAACTTAAATAAAAACTGTGATTCTTTGTCACTCAGTCTCATACAAATTGAAGGGGAGAATAGAGCACTATCTTTTACTCTTTTCTAATCAAACTTTTGAATATTTGGAAAATAAATGTTGCATTATCTAACAAGTTGGAAAAGGAGTAATTTTTGCTCAAGATTATTGTATAAGGTTTGTATCTATGGCAGTGACTTTATTTACTCTCGGCAGGAGGTGGAGGGCCAATCATGGGTGATTTATGGGCGTTGAAGGGCCTAATTGAAGGAGGTAATCATGTTTTTACACGTATCCTTGCTTAGTTTAGCCTATTGTGAGTCACTTTAATTTCCTATAATGACATACAAGGAACACCTTCATTTTTATAACTGGCCAGCCTAGTTAGGTCGCACACTAGATGCTGAAAGCAACGTTTACTACCCAGTACCCACCTTCTGCACCCTGTAAAAGCAAAAAGCAGTATATGCAATGAAAGGGTCCCAAACATTGTTTTAAAAAGCGATTGAGGCGGTCCGCCTCGAGGCGGTGAGTCGGTTGCATTTCGCCACTCAGGCTTAAGCCTCGGTAGGGATACCTAAGGCGTACGCCTCACAATGTTGAGGACTTGAGGCGGACCGAGGCGGTAAGGGGTAACTGAGGCGTAAGTCTCACTTTTAATAAGAACTTCAACAATTATAAGGGTTATTTTTAAAAAGCTATTGGGCGTCTTTTACAAAAACTCTTTTGGGCCAATGCACTATATAGTTTCTTAAGAAAAACTTAATAAACCTAGTAGATACTTAACACTTCTTTCCAAGACTTTAGTGTCAACTTTCGTCTCTCCATCTTCAAGTTTTCAACCGTACTTCTATCCATCTTCAGACTTCAGTGGCACAACTTCACTCTTGTGGTAGCCGCTAAGGCAATTGCTTCATATTTAGTAGCTTATCTTCTATTTCTTTCATTTTCTTCTTTCAACTTCTAATTTTTTCGGTTCCTTCTTATTCAACATCCCTCTCCCTCTTTTAAATTCGGTTCAAACTTCAAAGAATGATGTAACTTTTTTTTAGTCCGACGGCACCGCTATGACTCTCTCAAATGAGAGGTTATGTGTTCGATCTCCGGTGCGGGCAATAACTCTACGAGCTTTAATAGGTTGCGAATGTATACACAAATACTACATTGTAATAGAGTTAATACGGTTAAAAAAAGGTTTGAAGATGGGTTTCAGACATTTGTGTTTTATGTTACCGTGTTTAATTTTTATAAATCTATTTTTTTTGTGTTTTAAGAATTAAGATAGGGTATCATTTTTTTGTAAAATTCAGGAATTAGGATTTTATTATTTATTTAACATGAAAATGGATTATGCATTTCGTTTTACCTCGGTGTACATATTTTAGTATTATTTTTTTCATATTGAACCGAGGCTTACGCCTCGTTCCGCCTCGAGGCTTCCCCCTCAAGGTATTTTGCTCCACCGCCTTGAGGCTAGTTTTCGCCTTTCAAAACATTGGTCCCAAATAATGCCTTTTTCATTCTATTCTCTCATAGACCCTTAATTCTCATCATCACTGCCTTACTCCCAACTATATTGGGGTTGATGACATGAAATTTATATCGTCAATTAATTGTCTAAAATTAGGTAACACTATAAATTCATGAAAAAAAGGTATAAAGTTTTACACTGGATGGCCTTCTTTGTCACAGCCCTCTAATGAAGGAATAATGAGATGCCATCCAAAAAATTCTATCATCTTAGGTTTTCTCCACTCCCCTTAAAATTTCTCTACGTGCACATTTGCTGTTGGATCTGGGCTTAGGTTGTTTGAGGAAACAGTGGTTTTAGATGGAGAAGGAGTGATAGTCGATTACCTAAAGAGATAATCGATTATGGAAGGGTTCAGTTTCTCAAAGGATTTGGTGGAGAGCTTCTGAAGGGGTTGATAGTCGATTTACACAAATATGAAAATCGATTATTGGTGACTGCAGATGTTTCTTGTGAGTGGATAATCGATTATTCCAAGCAGGTAATCGATTATTGGGCAGTTTCAAGGAACAAAAAAGGAAGTGTTTTAGTAACGGGGATAAACCAAGGAGGTCTAAGAGATATAACACACTCTTATCCTTTCTTGGGGTTGAAATCTAGATTTCAATTAAGATATAACACACTTAATGAAATACTAGAACCTAACACTCACACTTAAGGAAACCAACCTTAAGATATAGAAATTAGGATTTGAAAACAGAATACAACCAGTGTATTTCTATCTTGAAATGAAGAATACAATCTGAGCATTACAATAGGCCTATGGCCGAAATTTAAAGGCACTCATACAAGGGAAAATACTAAGCTATTTCTTCCACAAATCCTAGAAAATGCAGTCATGTGCTTGAGTCCTTTCATGGAATAAAATCAGGGAAAATGGGGACAAGGATTTGTGAATGAATATTCATGAATGGAAGGGGATTTTCGGC